ATTTATATAAATAAACTCAGGCAAAAAGTTTTGTTTTTGTTTTTGGTTTTTTTTGGCCTAATTTTGTGATCCAAATCTGAGGCGTTTATATCAGACATTGACTTGTCAACTATAGAAGGGAATCCCAAGTGAATGAAACCTATTTGAATACAGTTTTTAAGGATTATATTTGGTGTAGTAATTATTTTACACTGCAAGTACACTGGAAGTACACTGTTATATTTTGTTTTGCATCACTGCTTGCTCCGTGCCATTTTGAGCCTTACAAATGGGATTGATACCAGGCAAAAAAAATCTAAATATAGGAACCCTGATATGAAAAACAAACAAACAAACAAACAAAAAAAAACTCAGCTGAAAATGGTAACCTTGTGCACTGATTTTGCGGGTCTGCAATTGACTACACCAGGGTATTGCGGTATATATATTAGGCTCATGGCAAGTAATTCTGCTATGATATATTGATTTTTTTGATTTTTTTTTTTTAGTAGTAGTGTAAGTCTTTTAGCTTAATCTTTTTTTCTTTCCTCCCTTTCAATGTAAAGGGTAGAATGCAAATAGCCTTGTTGCACAGGATTTGAAGTTAAAAGGAATGTGGGATGGTACTGTCCTGATCTCCAAGCTTTGCTTAAGATTCTTGTAAAACTACAATGCAATAGCATAGCAAGTTTCCTGGGTTTGCAACAATAGTGTGATTTCATTAGCCTCAGTAAAGATTAGTATTTCTGATTTTTACAGCAGTGAAAAAAGATTAGAATCACATTGCTATGCTTAAGTCAGATTCCTCAGTATGACTGGAGGTGTTCTTAGAATAATAAAAGAAATCTGTATAAGAAAATTATATAAGTAGCTGTGTAGTGTAAGAAAAGTAAAATGCCTGTAGCGATATCCTGGTATACTTGAAGTACCTCATATGTTAACAGTAGCAGTGCTTTTTCAAGCTCACAGATCCACGTTCGGTAGCTGCTTCCACCAGTGTAGTATTAAACTCTACATGAAAATCATCTTTATGATGCCACTAAAATGGTAACTTTAGATTTTAGTGGTTATTTATTTTTTACTGAAAAATGTTCTGATCTCTTCCTCACACATGAACATAAATGCACACACAGAGTTTTTCATCACCTTGTACTATAAAATACTGTGTAAAACTAGTTGCTGATGCGTTATGCCAAGTGCATAATTTCCAACTAGATCCACTAAGTGGACCTCATTGTCAGTGTTTTAGTAAGCCTATGTGAACAAACATCTAGTAACATAAACCGGCTTTCAGTAATGACAGAGGTGAGTGTACAGTCAGATGAACAGCAGACTCTTAGCATCATCTATATTTGTGTTATGAATTATGTCCTTCATCTGTTGAATTTTATGGATTTAAAAAACCCTTAAATCCACCGTTTTAAGTTAAGAGCAGATGAATCAATCTCTTTGCTTTGAGCATAATGTTAAATACATAGATATGCCCCATATTTTACTAAAAAATAATTTGTTTAAAAATATATCTAAAATCTGTTTTTTCCAAACATGCACATACGATCACTCAAAAGGGAAAGAAGACTTCAGGTTTATCTTCACATCGCTATTCAATTTTGAAATTAAGCCCAGGTAACGTTTCCAAACCACCAGCTCCTTCTACTTGGGCTGGCACAAGTGCTTGCCCAGCCGGGCCTGCCGCGGTGGTGGGGTCGGTGCCGCGTTTCTGTGGCGCTGGGCGCGGAGAGCCCGAGTCGCTCCCAGGGCGTGCACTGCAGTCCCGGTGCTTCGCTGCGCGTCCTGGCCGCGGTGCGCACAGTGAACGCCATCGGTGCTGGTGCCTTTCTTTGTTCTGCAGCCGTGTCTTGTTGCGCTGACAGCGGCACGATTAGCATGTTCTGAGTGCAGTTTTCCAGATTTCCAGTAGATGCCCCCAGAGACCATTAAACCTTTTGAAAGTCTCCACTTTAACTGAATAAAAGGCCAGGCTTTTTCCATTTTGCTTCTCGCAGTAACCTAATTGTTCAAAGGAATCCTAAAATTGGCATGGACACAATATAAAAAAATAAACTTAATGGTTTCCTAGTATGTCATAATTATTCTGTTAGGCAGTAAGGTTCAAAAGGTTTAGCATAAACTAGTTTATTAATGTTGTAGAAACATAGAGTACAAGTTAACTTTTAAAAAAAAAAATTTATGTGCATTTAATTAGATATCAGTTTTTGATATTAGGAATAAAATAATATTCAGTTATATAAAACATGAGCCATTCCATTTAATCTCTCCTTACATATTGCATGGTGTTATAAAGACGCAATATGCGAAGACAGTCATTTTGAACAGTTATAGTTTATTTGAAGATATAATAAAAAGTTTACTTCTGTCACCTACACTACTATTCTTTTCAAAAGCACTATGTGTTGGAAAAATAGTGCTGGCAATTTCATCCAGAACCACTTTGATAACTGAAGCAATTTCAGAATTTGTTGCAGTGTCAAGCTCTTAGGTGACACTAATATCATTCATCCCCATAATATCATTCATTTCTATCCCTATTTTATCCTTCATGTATGATCAGTCACTTACAGCTGATACATAACAGTAACTTAAGGACACGAACATGTTATTTTCCTCTTCATGTATTTTCTATTTTTAGAAATTACTTTGTGAAATAAATAAGAAGAATAAAGGCAAAAGTTATCTCTAAAATTTGAATGCTTCTGCGCTAGACAGCTTGTTTGTTTATTTGTTATAAACACAGTTATCTTTGCCTGAGAAAAAGATGTGGTCTGTGCTATATGATTATTTCAACATTACTTCAATTTCTTTGTTAGCTGACACGGTGGGCTTTTATTAAAACAATGGTGAAAAACAGATTTGTAAAAACTGACTTGTTTTCCTGTATGTAAATGTATTGGTTTGTTTATTAACATTATTACGCTGTTTGTGGGGAAACATGCTTTGACTTCAAGTAAAATGCATTGATCTGCAGCAAATAATATGTTACATGGGCACAACTTTTCTGTTTGTATAAATATTGGTACTGTGCTCAGCTTGTATGCGGTGTTAAAGATTATCTAAATGGCATTTTGATTAGTCACTTTTATGATGTTTTAGCTGTACTTTCTTTCTTTCTTCTAATATATCTACTCATCTAATACATGTACACAAACATATAAATACATATACCACATTATATGAATAAATAAATTTGTATCTGTATCTATGTCAACTATACAGATTGTGATTCTACTGCTTTGGGTTTCATTACTGTAGGTTTCAGTTTCAAGTCTGTGGAAGTTGGTAGAAATTTTTTACCTTCATTCTTCAACTTTCTTTTAGTTAGATGGAAATGTAAAAAAAGAGAAAAGAAAGAGTAGAGAATACATTGCAATGTATTAACATAATATCTGCACAGTATTTTGAAGCTGTAAATCTTGAATCTGATATATTCCAATTTTAGCATATTCTGACAAATTAAATTTTAAATGTTTAAAGGTATTCTCATTTACTTTTAGAAAAGAAATGTTGCGAATGTTTTCTGGCACAGAACGGTTATATGTTTTCCCTTCCATGCATGTATAATGTGTGCTTTTCGATCTTGAAAAGCACCTATTTATATATTAAAAATAAATTCAGTACTGTTTAGCTTAAATCCTGTCATGTATCTTTTAGCATTGTGTAATATTTGTCTCTTCAGCTTTGCAATTTAAATGTAAGAAAAATACGTATGCAGGATTAATCTGCATCTGAGTAATAATTAGTGGATTTTATTTTAATGGTATTAAATATGAAATAAACAGCACAGCTTATTAACTTATTAAATATCATGTTCCTGTTTATTCCATGGACATCTAGCTAAGAAGTTGTTTACACCATTTCCATTCTTATTACAACTGTTAAAGAACTGCAGTAGCTCTTTTTAACCCAGAAGTATTCGTCTCATTAGGCTATTGTTTACTATGAGGCTCATATGCATTTATTTTATGTGCTATAAATCTCAGTTTTCAGAATTCTGTATTTCTTTTAAAGACTTTGAGAATTGGCATGTAAATTCGTTTTAATTCAAACAGACAGTTTTGGAAATAGTTTGGAAACTTAAATCAAAATTACAAAATAAAATTAGCACATCTAGGTCCTTATCATTTTACTGGAGCAAAGGTTTGTTTTCTCACACTAGACACCTACTTGTGCAAACCTTTACATACATGCATTAGGGTTGAAAGCAGTGCTACTGGACTTGTAGCTTGTTCCAGGATGGGGTGCAGTGGTTGTTTCATGCTACGTGAAAGAAATATTTGCGTTATTTCTGTAAATAGTGCCTCAAAAGATCTATTACCTCTTGAGAATATTTAATCATGCATCTTTTTGATATATATTTCTCATCAGTGTTTATGAATGGTATAATGTTGATATAAATTCATCATTGTAGCTTTGTGGAAATATCACTTGATTTTTAAAATCAGGGAGAATCATCAAACTTCTGTATCAGTATACCATTCCCAGCTGAAGTTATATGTTAAACAGAAGCAAAATAATACGTAATGATTATGTTTCTGGCATAGCATTTGTTTGACATTTTAAACCAACCCATCGTAGTAACCTCCAGCAAAACTATTTAACATATACATTGTTTTGACATGCAGAATGTGCTTCATTTTTCCCTGTACACTGTTTTAAAGCAAACTAAGAGTTTATTGTTTCCATGAACTAATGTAAACATCTCTTTTTCCCATCAGTCAGCCTCTTTGGCCAGTGGCAGCTGAAGAATACCAATATATTTTTAACATATTTGCAATATATATTTGGGTATTTATTCACTGTTGTTATATTTACTTCCGTAGGGTGGGACCTCCTTAATCATATATTAACAGAATGTTTTTTGAGTAGGGGAGAAAATATCCCTTCCCCACTGGTGAGCTGCAGAGGTCTCTTCTTGAAAACTGTTTTAGTATCTGTACTTATTTAGTAAGGTGGAGAACAGAATACAGGTTTAAAGGATTAAAATCCACCTTTCTTATTCCCAGTTGGAGGAATTCATACAAGAAGAACATCTGCATAGACATGCTGCGACAGGGTTATCACAAGTCCTTCTCCGAGCTCTTCACTCTGATACAGAAGTGGAATGCCTTGAGGGAGGCTGCAGGGCCTGGGTCAGCCATATGGCAGCAGAAGTCCCTGGAGGAACAGCCTGATAAGCTGGATCAGCTTTACCACTTCCTGACCAGGGCTGAGGCAGCCCAGCGAGCAGGTAAATGGGGGGATTGTGGGTAGCTGAGCAGCGGGAGCCGCAGCCGTGAATGCCTGGGGGAAGCTTCCAAATTGTTTCATGTATGAATTTGAAACGTTACTGCATCTTAGCACATTTCAGCCTTAGTCAACTAAGCTGTATTTATAGAATAAATGATTAGGAACTGCGGATACCAGGAGAGGTTCTGTGAAATAAAAGAGGGAAAATATCCAGAGTGCGTTATGATACCATCAGACATGTTTGGTATGTTTGTAGCTTTGAAAACATCTCAGTTATTTTTCTTACAATTTCATTATTTATTATCTTTCTTTCTCTGTTGATTTGAATAGGTGACATATTGTTTCATGCAGAAATAGTTCTATAATTCTGATTTTATTAAATACCCTATCTGCTAACTGTATTTGAATTTGTGACTGACTTTAAAAGGTTTATGAACATGTCACATAAAACGTGGCACAGAGAAGTAACATGCCACCAGTGAGTTACTAGATATTAGTGAAGACCTACTCCAAATTTTTTCTGCTAGGTACTGATTACTAAGCTCTCATATTTATCATTTCCTTTTGCAATAAATAGTAACGTAACTTATTCTGTCTTTCTCCTTTGGAGTAATTGTAGGAATGGAAGCAGATAAAACTCCTACTACAAACCTGTTTCGTAGCAGAGCAGATTTCATTATATGTGTCTTGTTTCAAGTTACATTTTGATCATGACAAGGAGGGGAATCTAAAGTTAAGCTTGTGAGTTTGGGACCTGAACTTTTTGCCTGAACTTCAGAAACAGAAAACTTCATTTTAACAAAGAATAAAAGAATAACTTTCATCATTTAAAAACTGCTCATTTTAAATGTTTATTCTATACTTGCTGTGAAAGCCATTTGTCTTTAATTCACTGTAATTCTGGACAGAAAGTTTAACCTCTCCATGATAGGAAAGAATCTTTGGATTTTTCTGAACTGCAACTAAAACCTGAATAGAAACCCCTGTAATTCCTAGGAGTACAAGAGAGAAGTTTTGCCCTTGAACTGCCCTAACAGCAGCATATCTGCCAATGCTGTAACATTCAAAAAGTAGTAGATACGCCATATCTTGATGGGCCTGGTTCCTGCAGCTGTCTGAGGAGAGTCTTTTGCCCTTCTTCAGTGCCTCTGGAGAGGCAAGATCTTTTTCAGTGTTCTTAAACTGATGTGAGACAGTAGAGTTGGCAGACATGCTTTCAGAGAGTCAGGGTGCTGCTGACTGTGCAGGTTCTGCTTCTGTGAAAGGAAGAGGCCCTTGCCTCTCCCTGAGTCCAGCAGTTGTTGTGTGCTGGGCTCCAGAAGCCCTTCCTCTCTCACAGAGACCAGATACCGCTAGTCAGCTGACTGATTGTGTCTTTCCTCTATGAGAGTGTCTCCCCCAACTTTGCCTGTTAAAATTGGTTAAAACAGAATAAACTAATGAGACTGTGACAATAGAGTTGGCCAGTGTTCAAGCAGTGCATCTTCACTGAATTGCTAGATGAGGGTATAGTTTGAGCTTTGATTTTTTTCACCAGTTTCCGTGCTTGAACTATCTGCTATGTGAAGGGGTGGAAGCTAAGTCATGTTGCTGATGTTAGAACTACTAATGCTGTGAGGATAACATGTGAATTATTAGTATATTAAATACGAATTCAGTAATTCTGGTAATCCGGTTACTCTCTGATTTTTAATCAAATCACTTGGGGCTCTGGCTTATGATCTCCTGACAACATTAGTTGACAACATTTAAGAATTATTCAGCAGTATACCTCACCCTTCGGCTGGAACTTATCGCCCTGTAGCAGCCTTACTGACCTGCATTTGCTCCTTAGCCATCACAGTTCAAGTCGAAAGTGGCTTAGAAAGCTAAAAATAATATTTGGGGCTGTGAACTGTGAGAATTTTATGGTATAGTTGATGTTACTAATGCCAGGCTAGCCAGAGAGGGAATCTACCTGTTTCAGGTATGCTGTCCTGAGCCAACAGTCATGGTGAAGAAGACATCTCAGATGTAAAACTATGGAAAAAAACCTTAAGATTTTTAAGTTTTTAGACAGATTTAAACTTCATGAAGGGGATGAGTTTTGAGCCTAAAGTGGTAAGTGGACTGTCCAGGAACGGGCAAGAGAGATGGTAGAACAAAATGTAAGCATTATATTGGTTAACGTGCTATTTGCTGTTTAATGATCATAGCAATTCAAAGATAATCTGCAATTGAAACAAGATTTCAAAAAAGAAAAAATTACTTGTGCTAGATCTAAGTGAAAGTATTATATTTTTAAAATACAATTTCAGTACTTAAGCATAGCTGCATTTTTTTACATTTTCTGTTAATGACAGAAATAAATATATTCCATTGTGATGACTTTTAGGTGATGACTTACCTACAAATGACCACTCTTTTGACTTAAAGTTTGTTGCTATACAAAGTTTGTTTTAACTGGACAGGTTGCATAAGGAGGTGTTTTCTAGTTCAGTGACTTAATTTACTATACCTTTGAAGATCCATGATCAAATAAATATCTCTTTGCTAAACTCTAAGGAGATAGAAGAAATCTCGCCAAAGAATAAAAACCTAGTGTGATTAAAGAAAACTTTATTTTGCCAAGTTTTACGAGTCCTCCATTATCTGATAGTCCATATACTTACTCTGCTATTGAGGAAAATAGTATGTACTGAGACACTGTGTACATACTTTTTATCCCCTAAGTCCCATTTGCAGTGAGGGGGTATAAAAGGCTAAAGAATCCTCTGCTTTCCTGTGGCAAAGCTCAGACGTTTTGTTTGTAAATAACCTGTTAATAACAGTTGCTTGGCATAGGTATAGCCTATAGCAGTAGCAGTATTACTGCTACTGTAGTATTGCAGTATTACAATATAGTAGCAGTATTTCAATAGCAGTATTTCATTACCATTTTACGATGCTTTAAATTCTTCTAGGTCTGGACTCTTTCTGTATTCTTTTGTTTATATTGTTCTTCTGCCTCTTGTAAACTTGATCTATGTTTCTTCTGAACTTATATCATGATCCAGATCTCCAATTTGAGCATAAACCATTTATGTGGCTATTATACTGCCATATGTCACCTGCCTAGGTTTATCTTGACTTCAAGAGTATCGTATCCTCCCAACCGCACTGGTATTTTTGGGTCTTACCCTAATAGGAGCTAGAAATTTGCTTGAGAGCTTTCTTTTTGTTGCAGTCTGTGTGTTCTGAATAAGACTTAAATTTTCTCTATTAATACTTGATTTGAGTGTTTTCTGCTGTTACAGACTTGGTTGCAGTTGGGAAGGTAGAAAAGAATTACAGGCTGCTGAGCAGAGCCACCTCTGACTCAAGTGCCCGGAACATAAATGCACGAAGTGAGGAATATGTTCATAGACTATTCATCTCACAAAAAATTACTTACCCTGTCAGTAAATAACTTTTCCCACTTATTACTCAATATCTCACCAGATATTTTTGCATCATAGGATGTTGTTGTCTTATAGGGAATATAACATAGAGCTGCTGCTCCTAAGTTTACAGTTTTGTAATTGTTACCATAGGACACAGAGAAAGCTAGTATTCATTCATCCCTTCCAGATTTATTGGTGGAATAAGTTAATCTTTTCATTTTTCTGATAGTCTGTAGTTCTAGGACACTACAATGCTGGATATAAATTGTTTACTTGGGCAGAAGCAACGTGGTCCACCGTGGTGTGGAGACTGATATTAAAGAGCAGTGGGGTTTTTTTTGTTTGGTTTTTTTTTTTGTTTTTTTGCTTCTGGGTTTGAAAATCACGGTATTTTGTTTACTAGCTTTATGCTGGACAGACTGTTTGTCTTTACTTACACCAGCAAATGTTCTCTGTGATTTAATGTTTAGTGGCACAAGCATTTTGACTGAACTCCAAGTCATACAGGAGTCTTTCTTTTAAATCGTCTATTACTAGTATTATTTTGTGTGCAGAGAAAATCTTATTTGTGTCTCTAACCTAATCTTCTTGGCATTGTATTTGAATACCTCCCAAGTATTTAAAAATAGAGGGTTACCATTAATCCTTGCAGCTTCTCAGCAAAATAGCTGATAGACTTATTTTGTCCTAGGTAGAAACCAGCATTATCCTGAAAAACTAGCAGAAATATTGGCAATACTTGTTGACAGCATTCATATTTGGTCTTTTTTGATGCAAATAATTATTCCTTCATCTTGCTTCAGTTGTGAACTAAGCTAATTTGGTCTCAGGGAGTGGGAAGAAGAGGTGACTTTCCTGTTAAAATCTTTATAGTAGTAGGGCTTTTTTAAAGCACAACACAGGACAAATGCCAAAGCAATGCATGTATATAGATCAGCATTTGAGATATGCAGTTATTTCTTGATAGGGTCTGAATATAGCGTTGTCTTTTACTCAGAGAAAATTGTATTTTGAGGCTGTGGAATAGTGAGGATGTGGAATGGATTGTACTTCCCAGAGTATTTTTGCTTAAAGGTATAAATGTCCTTGAAAGCTATAGTAGCGCTGATATGTCATCCTTGCTATCCTTTTGAAGAGCCGTAGCTCGCTAGCCCCTCCCTACTCAGGCTTGTTTTGCAGATGAGCAGGAGAGAGAATCTGAAACTGCAGTCCCGTCCTTCTCCGACACTGTGGGTTGCTAACTGAGTGTCCTTTGGCTGCTGACAACCTGTGAACAAATGATGACATAGATATGCCAGCTGAGTGGAATTCCTCTTGTCCATTTTGTGTCTGAGAGAAGCCCAGACAAAGTTTGGCTAGGTATCTCTGTGTGTTTGGATGAGTCATAGGGAGGAAGTAAAAACAAAGGAAATTCAGCTAAGTATTTTACTTAGCTTATATTTCAGAATTTTTCGACAGCATCCAGTTTAATATGTGCATGGCAGAACAGTTCATTTTAGTGTTAAATTTTTCTATTCCTTGCACAAAAATACTTAGAAGTGAAATCAAAAGCTGTAAGCTGGTATTTGCAGATTTTACCCTATGAATGTGACTCAGTCAG